ATAATCGATTGGGTCATCTTTCTTTTGGGTCTTTAAGGAGTCTTTTTCCTAATTTGTTTGAGTCAATCCAAATGGCCAGTCTGAAGTGTGAGAGTTGTGAGTTGGCAAAGCATTGTAGATCAACTTATTCACAAAGTAATAAAAGAAGTTTTGTTCTTTTTGAAATTGTGCATACTGATGTTTGGGGGCCTTATCATATTCTTGCTATGGGTGGGTACAAACACTTTCTATTGTTTGTTGATGACCACTCTCGGTTTTCATGGGTTTACCTCATGCGCTCTTGGGATGAGGTTCCCTCTTTGACCCGCATTTTCATCAAATGATCTTGACTCATTTTGGTGTTAAAATAAAAAATCTCTGATCTGATAATGCCAAAGAACATTTTTGCAAAACCCCTATCCTCTTATCTCTTTGAACACTGAGTGATTCATCAGAGCACTTGTCCTCATACACCATAGCATAACGGTGTAGCTGAGAGGAAAAACAGACACATCCTTGAAGTTGCAAGAAGCATTATGCTGAATACTAATGTTCCAATTCGTTTCTGGGGGGATGCTATTCTTACTGTTGTTTATCTCATTAACAGGATTCCTTCACGAGTCTTGGACATGAAAACTTTTAACTTGTTGTATCCTGATAAGGAGCAGTTCTCTGTTCTTTCCAAAACCTTTGGTTGCACTTGTTTTGTCCAAATCCTTGGGCCTACATGTTCAAAATTTGATCCTAAGGTTGCCAAATGTATTTTCCTAGGGTATGCACAAAATCAAAAGGGGTATTATTGCTATGACCCTGTCTCGAGAACCAGATTTGTATCTATGTATGTCACCTTCTTTGAAGATGTCCCTTATTACCCTAGGGTTTCACCTCAGGGTGAGAGTGGTGAGCGGGGTGTGTTTGCTCAAGATGTTCCTTTGCCCATTCTTGCAAGTGGAGAGGAGTGTATTGAAGGGAGTTGTCAAAAGTGTAAAGAATTGAGGGTGTTTCACAGAAGATGGTGGCAGAAAGTTGGTTCTAGTAATGATCAGTCCAGGCTAGTTCCTATCTCTTTTGCCGCACCAGATTCAGGTATTGCTTCCTCCTTACCCCCTACTGCTACTGATGACGTACCCACTCCTATTATTGATGACATACCCTCTTCCACTACTGTGTCTTTGCCATCCTCAGATGACCTTGACCTTCCGATTGTAGTACGTAAGGGGAAACGTCAGTGTACCTCATCCTCTGCCCATTGTATCTCTCATTTCCTTTCTTATGATCACATTTCATCATCATATAAGTCCTTTTTAGCCTTCATTACTGCCATTCCCATTCCCAGAACAGTTCAAGAGGCCCTTGTTGTCATTGAGTGGAAGGAAGCAATGAAGGCTGAGATGGATGCCCTTGTAAAGAATGATACTTGGGAACTGGTTGATCAACCAAGAGAGAAGAAGCCTGTTGGGTGTAGGTGGATATTCACAGTTAAGTATAATGCTGATGCTACAATTGAAAGGTATAAAGCTAGACTGGTGGCTAAGGGATACACTCAAACTAATGGTATTGATTACTTGGAGACGTTTGCACCAGTTTTAAAAATGAATACCATTAGGGTTTTACTGTCTCTTGCTGCTAACTTCTCTTGGCCTCCGTTTCAGATGGATGTTAAGAATGCATTTCTAAATGGTGACTTGTAGGAGGAGGTGTATATGGAGTTACCTCCTGGTTTCTATGGTGCAGAGACTGATAAGAAAGTTTGCAAGTTGAAGAAAGCTTTGTATGGTCTAAAACAATCTCCAAGGGCATAGTTTGATAGATTCAGAATTGCTTTGGAAAGATTTGGCTATGTTCAATCCAAATCTGACCACACTCTGTTCTTTAAGAAGAAAGAATCTACTTTGACTCTATGTGGATGACATTGTGGTGACAGGAAGTGATATTGATGAGATTAACTCTCTTAAGCAATTGTTGAATCAAGAATTTGAAGTAAAGGACCTGGGTGAGTTGAGGTATTTCCTTGGGATAGAAGTTGCAAGGTCCAAGCATGACATTTTTGTTTCCCAAAGGAAGTATGTTCTTGATCTCTTGGAAGAGACAGGAAAACTAGGAGCTAAGCCTGCTATTACTCCCATTGAGCAAAATCATAAGATTAATGCAGAGGATGGTGAGCCTTTAGAAGATAAAGGTATGTATCAACAACTTGTAGGAAGACTTCTCTACCTATGTCTAACTCGCCTTGACATTTCGTATGCTATAAGTGTTGTTAGTCAGTAAATGCACTCTCCCAAGACCTCACACCTCCTTGCTGTTGAGAGAATTTTAGCCTACTTGAAGAGGTGTCCAGGCCGAGGTATACTTTTTAAAAATAGTGGCCATATGAAGATTGATGGGCAGGTTGTATTGATGATAGGAGATTTACCTCTGGGTATTGTGCCTTTGTTGGAGGAAACTTAGTTTCATGGAGGAGCAAGAAGCAAAATGTTGTTGCTCGGTCCAGTGCTGAAGCTAAATACAGGTCTATGGCTAATGGTGTTGCTGAAATATTATGGCTGAAGTCTCTCCTTACAGAATTGGGAATTGAGTTTGAAAGGCCCTTGATGCTGTATTGTGATAACCAGACGGCCATTAACATTGCCCACAACCCAATACAGCATGATAGAACCAAACACATTGAAGTTGACAAACATTTCATCCGAGAGAAAGTTGCCTCTCAAGAAGTGTGCCTTCCTTGTGTTGCCACTAATATGCAGTTTGCTGATGTCTTCACCAAGGCAGTCAACAAAATCAAACTTGAGTCAGATTTAAGTAAGTTGGGAATGATCAATATATTTTCCCAACTTGAGGGGGGAGTGTAGAGAAAATGGTTGACCAGCTTGTGGTCCCATCTGCTCATATGTTCTTTCTTGTCTATAGTACTGTTAGACCTTTTTTTCTATTGTTTATAGTGACAGGGGCATTCTTGTCATTGTACTACTTAATGTTGAAGACCTATTTTAAATATCATTTGGGGCGGCAAACTAAGCTAGCCGAACCCTTCATTCTCTTCTATTCTCTCTTCCTCTTCTCTTCTCTCTTCTCTTCTCTTCTCTTCATTTCTGGTTTGCTTTTCTTACTAAACAGGTCTAAACCTTCTTGGTTTCAGACAACTACACCAAAGGTTGTGGATGTGGCCAGGAGTTCGAGGGATGCAGACCTTCTGCATTGGGGTCACAATGGATTACTCAGAGAAGAGGATGTTTCTGGTGCTGTTCTGGTCAGTGTGGTGATTTAATGTCTTGAGGGCTGTTTCTTGTGTTGGCGATCACCTAATTCATGGTGCTGAATTCTTGTTGGCATTTAAATGGGATGGGCTCTATGTTGGGTTTTGTCCCATTCTTTTGGATGTTTTGGGTCTGCTGAAAGGGTTTCGATTCAGTGGATTATCGTCACCGGTGAAGATGGAACTACAAATTTATTTTCTGTCTTGTAAGATCTGGAGATCCAGTTTCCGGTGACCATGGTCTCATAGTTTCCGACAAGTTGTTCTTTTCGACATTTTTTTGGCATTTCAATTTTGCGTTCATCAATAGGTCTATGTGTGTAGGCGCGAATTACACCACAACTCCTTTCATTTCGGACATGGATTTTCTTGCATTAATGGTGGTTGCAAGAGATGATCATTTGGACAAAATTTTTGGGATTCCACCACCTATTTGAAATGTGGTTGTAATTGCTTTTCTAGGCGTTTTTAAATTTTTAAAAGGCTTTCTCCATAGGCCACTTATTTTTAAAAGAAGATTGTTTTGATAAGGTATATTTAACGGTTTGTGGGTTATTTCATCTGGTTTTGAAGTTTACCGTTGTTGGTTGCCACTGGATGGGTTTGAGTTTGGCAATCAATTCTCTCCTTAACCCCTTGTTGGTTTAGTTGTTCGGATGCTTTATTCGGAAGTTTCTTGTTGAGTTTATCTCTGTTGGAGGTTTGGCCCTTCGTTTTGGCGTTTTATAGATTTCCGCTGCAGAGTCCTCACAAACTGGATCCTTCAGCAGATTGGTCAATAATCTGGATTTATTTCTCCAATTTTGTCAATTTCTTGGACTATTCTGACTGATGCTGATTGTAGTATCTTGTATTCTGAGCATTTTTTTAATGAAATTTGCCACACGTGGCTTAAAAAAATATAAAATTTATTTTGTACATTATGTAATATAAAATATTATATATAATATAAATTCAAAATAATGCATAAAGTTCTAAGATAATATAATCAAAATAATTCAGTTGAACTTAGTCATGAATCTATTATAAAGTTCAATATCATATAATCAATTCCAATCTCAAAAGTCAATCAACCCACAGACATTGGTTCTTTCTTTCATTTTTTTTTGGGAGTACATATATTGGTTCTTTAACTCATATATCAATGGAAACGATTCAATGAAGGTAGAAAATGATCACCCTAACAAAGGGATACATAATTATCTCTTACCCTAGACAAAAGTCTCACCTAGTAAAATAGGTACCGGGACACATCTATGTCCATTTTATCCTCCCTTCATGTTGAAGAGCAAGGAAAAAGATTGAAATGAATTCCAACTTCCAATTAGAAATGCTCATAATAGAATATAAAGGCCTACCAAGGTTCATAATATAATTTTATTAATTTAATGGTGTTTTGTCTAAAATCTTTATTTCCCTTTCTTTTCCTTCATAGGTTACACACTCAGATTCTTTTGGTAGATCAATTCACTATTAAGGTTTGAATTTTGAAATCATACTGATTAGAACATTCTAAATTTAACATCTTTATTCCATTAATATTCTTTTAAATATGTGAAATGCTATCTGCTATGGTTGTGTTATTTTCTACATGGAGAGGAGCATCCGTGGCCGTGCATATATATTTTCTTCTATGTAGCTATATTTTCAAGGTCTTCCACTTTTGTTGCATTTCTATGCTATCTTCTTTGGTATTCTATTACTATAGCAATGTAAAGTTTTATTCGTTTTTTTTTTATAGATTAAAGTTTTATTTGTTTTGCTATAGATATGTCATCACATTGTTCATCTAGGGATGAAAAAGATCATGCCAAATGGACAAGGAAAGAGGAGAGGATATTTGTTGAATTAATGGTAGAACAGTGCAAAAAAGGTAATAGGACAACTACTACCTTTAGCTCTGTCGGTTGGAATGAAATCCAAAAGGATTTCAATAAGAAGACAGGGTGTAACTACACAGATATGCAGTTGAAAAATAAATTTCAAAAACTAAGAAAAGTGCACAAAGAGTTAAAGAATGCATGCAAGCAAATGGGTTTTAGTATGGATCCTTCTAGGAAGGTTATATTGGCAGAGGATGATGAATGGGAAGCCTACCTAAGAGTGAGTCATGTGTACTATGTTTCAATTTGCTAAGATATTTAGGTTAGGTATATAATTTGTCTAATCATACTTATGTACACAGGGTCATCCCAATGCAAAAAATTTACGAACAATTGGATGTCCGTTATGGGATGAGCTTCAAATAATCTTTGGTGATGCAACCAGTGAAGATAAAGGTACTCTTGATGTAGAAAGTATTAATTTAACATATTTTTATTCCATTAGTATTCTTTTAAATATGTGAAGTTCTATGGTTATTTTATTTGCTATATGAGAGGAGTATTCAGGCATGTATATTTTCTGCATGTAGCTATATATTTTCATGGTCTTCCCACTTTTTGTTGCATTTCCATACTATCTTCCTTGGTATGTTATATTGTAGCATTGTAAACTTTTATTTGTTTTGCCATAGATATGTCACTTTGTCCATCTAGGGATAGAAAAGATAATGCCAAATGGACAAGGAAGGAGGAGAGGATATTTGTTGAATTAATGGTAGAACAATGTAAAAAAGGTAATAGGACGACTACTGCCTTTAGCTCTACTGGTTGGAAAGAAATCCAGAAAGATTTCAATAAGAAGACAGGGTGTAACTACACAGATATGCAATTGAAGAATAAATTTCAAAAATTACGACTTTTGCACAAGGAGTTCAAGAATGCATGCAAAGAAACGGGTTTTAGTATGGATCCTTTTAGGAAAGTTATATTGGCAGATGATGGTGATGTATGGGAAGCCTACGTAAGAGTAAGTCACGTGTATTATGTTTTAATTTGATAAAGTTATCACTATGTATGTATAATTTGTCTAATTATATTTATGTATACAGGATCATCCCAATGCAAAGAATTTACAAACAACTGGATGTCAATTATGGGATGAGCTTTGTATAATTTTTGGTGACATCACTACAATCGGTGAATATACAAAATCTTTTAGGCAGGAAGATGAAGATACTTCAGAAGATGAAGATACTTTTGAGGCAGAAAGTATTAATTCTTTATCAGATTCTGATGAGCACCAAACAACTAGGCATATTAGTTTTGGTTCCTTAGATCCCTTGCTTACATTAGATGCAATGGATGATACCAGCCAAGAAAAGAGTCCAATATCTCCAAAGAGAGCTATTACTTTGAAGGATCGGAAACGCAAGAAATTCAACAATTTGAAAGCTTTTAGTGAGGCTTGCATGGCATTCACTCTTGAGTCTATGTATCGTATTAATAAAGATCGTAAAAAGAGGTTGACATCAGTTCCATTACATGACCCATATCCACTTAGTAGATGCATTGAAGTTTTAAATAATGCACCATGTTTAGATGCAAAATTATATGGGAAGGCAATGAACTTATGTATGCATTCATATTGGAGAGAAGTCATCTGTCAAGTACCTAGGGAGTTAATTAGTCAAGTCATTGAATCTGCAAAGGAGCCATAATGATGAGATGCTGGGATTATGCTCATTTTATATTTCATTATATTTTGTAGTCTGGTGTTGAACATTGTATTTTAGTTTATGGGTATTGTTAGTAAAATTGTTTTTTGTGTTGTGTTTCATCACATTAAGCATGTTTTTGATATTTTTATTTAAATAGCTTGACTAGTGTGGTTATATTGGGCTTTAATTATGCTAATTTTTTACAAATAACATAAATGTAATTATAGGATGTGATTCTAATTTTATGAATCGATAGGATGAATTACAAAGCAAAAGTTGATGAATGCAAAACTGATTTTGATAGTGAATAAGCAAGTGATGATTATGACGCATAGGAGACGATATATGGTGCTTTGTTGTATGACAACTATGGTTTTAATAGGATATGAGACAAGGCAGGTTTGGCCTGGAGGCATCTTGTGAGGCATGCACCTCAAATGATATAATCTCAGCCGTTAGAATTTAGTCAAATAAAAAAATGAGTGTTTTTAGCTACATAGGGCCTTTACCAAGATTAGAAACTAGAGAGTTCCAAGTATGTAGAACTCTAAAGATGGAATTACGACTTTCAAGTAGAGGAGAGAATGCAATGTTTTTCTATCGTCTCAATGACCGGCGATAGATAATAACTCGATCAAAATCACGGAGCAATCTTATACTCCTGTTAGTCTGTTTGGATCCCTTATTTCATTATGTTCACTTGTATACTTGGCTGAAAAACGTTATTCCAGTTCTTGAAGGTCAATACCTATGTCTGAATATATTCATTTTCTAAGAGACTCTGAAATTTGTTGTGTATTATTATTATTAAAGGATTCGACTATGATATTGGAAAGACATGGTATCTGAAAATCTTGTGACCAATCAACGAGTATCATAAGCATGTTAACTAATCAGGTGGTATTTATCAAAATTCATAGGTGGGTTTTTATTGGCCAAAGCTCTTCCTGTAACATTTCTTTCAGGCATTATAGTTTAGATTTTTCAGTTATTAAAATTCTAAAAATGGGAATACAAATCGGGGATTGCAACCGAAAGAAAAGAGGAATGCAAATTGGGAATGGGTTGTTGATGTAGTCATTGGTATTTTGGTAGGTGGGGATTATACAAATGAAATAAATTTAATGTAGTTCTTTTCTTTCACTTGCAGATAGGAAGAAAATAGAATTTTCGTGTAGGTAGGAAGCAAGGCAATAATCCAAGAGTATATTTTGTGTTATTGATGTGAGTGTGTGTGTACTATTTTGGTTGTTTGGTATTATCAATTGATCAAAGGGTCACTGCTAGAGGGGAGGGGACATATGGCAATAAATGACAGGTTATGGGTGTTGGGTAGATTCCAATCTAATTTCTTAAGTTCCCTGTAATGGATTCTAGATGGGCCCAGGCTCAGATTGTTTCAAATGTAATACTTTATAAACATATAAAATATGGGTACATGTTTTAGGTAACATTTGCATTCACTGATATTTAGAGATGGCAATTTTTCCTATCCCCGCGGGTATCCAACTTCCCCAATCCGATGGAGTCGGAAATGGGGATTGCATTGGCAGGGCAGGGATGGGGATGGGGCCCTATTGGGGATGTGGAACCAGAAGTTTGTGTTGGCCCTCTACACCCTAAGGCTAGGCTAATTTTACTTGAACTAAGTGTGGAATTGGTTGATGTGGCCCAGTCCAACTCTTGGTGGGCCGTGGAAATCTGTAGCTTAGCGACGTATTCCATTAAAAGGCTTTCCACAAAACTATCCTTTTAAGCAAGTTAAGATCTTCTGCCAACAAAACACATTCCAACCCTTAATGTGCGGTGTTAAATCATGTTGGTAGAGGGTTGGAATGTATTTTGTTGGCAGGTGATCCGAACTCCTTTTAGAATGTGTTCCATCGATTTTCAATCTGAACCTAGCTTAGAAAGAAAGATTGCCAGATATGTTCTATCGATCTGATTCATTTAATACATATTTATATTTAAGGCATTCTTATGTTTGTATTATCAATTGGTTAAGACGAAGTCATTAACTGTGTGATTAGTCCGATTTTTCTATTTTTAGTAACTACAATAGATGCTTAAATAATAGTAACTTATCTATAAAAAATATAACTATGGGCAATAAAATAAATAGTTAATCCTTATATCCCTGAAAACCAAAACGGGTTGGCTAGTAACCAAATTCTCTCCCATTTCTTTTTCCTCCTCTCTAGTTAGAAAAGATAAGTGGAATTAAGGATTTTTGTTTGAGAGAGAGAGGGGGAAGAAGAGGGGATTTCTTGCCATGCAATCGCAATTTCCATTATTTAAATGTAGTTACTGCGTAAAAATATTTCTGATGGCGTTCAGACATAAGTGCTGGAAATAGATTTGGTTGTAATTGGACAATGCATATATTCAAATTTGATTTCAATCTAATCAAACTTCATCAGATTGTATTTAAATAAGGATCCAACAGTCCCAGAGGGTGCAATTTGGGTTGAGTTGGGTTTACCTAGGGCTGTTCATAAGAATGCCCAATCCGACCAAATCGATCAACTCGGATCGATTCAACCTGAGTCGGTCGGGTTTTCATTAGTACCAGTCGGTTTCGGGTTGGGAAAATATATAAACCGATATATCGGGTCGGTTTCGGTTTTCTTGTGTGAAAACCGAAACTAACCCGACCTGAACCAAACTAGTCTTCTACTAGTTCGGTAATTCCTAGTTTGAGTAGTTTCCTACTTAACTATAACTAGTCTTCTACTAGAACTAGAAGGTCCATTAGGCAATTACAATTAGAATAGGCAATCTATCATAGTTTTTTTTTATAATCTTTTACACCAAATAGGCAACCCATTAGGCAATTACAATTAGAATTCAATTAGGTGTCCTTTTGTACAGGAGCAAAACCGAAACTGACCCAACCCGACTCAAACCGACCAGGTCGGTTTGGCCTATCAGTGGGTCGGTTTCGATTTCCACCTCAGGTAACTCGACCAGGTCGGGTCGATTGGGAAAATCCTAATAAACCGACCCAACTCGACCCGTGAACACCTCTAGGTTTACCATTTGTTAAATTTTCTATGGAGACTCAATTTGTCTCCATAAACAGCCTTGATCAAATAGAAATAGGGTTTAAGTCTTCAAAGAGGAGCAAAATATGGAGAGAGTAAAAGGGAACAAAACTCTTACATATACGAGACAATGATTGATCATAAACCGTACAGTAAACACAAATACAAAAGTAACAAGTCGTCTGGACGTGAAGCCAAGGCAAATATCATATATCGGCATAACGTTGTTATATATTGACAAACAACCAACTGCATAGTTATGGTTGAATATTATGGTTGGTTCGAGTCAGCCATTTTAACGTTATATTTCATGGAAGTAGAGAGTGGTTGAAACTTTGAAAGTTTCATCTTTCTTTGGCTCCATGAATACGATGCCCATCTCCCAAACCCAAAACCCCCCAACCCTAGTGCAGGTGGTCAGGATTCATCCTAAGTTTCCGCTACAATCAGTAGGAGATGTTATTAATCAGTTATTTATTCGGGTAAACGCAGGTGGTCAGGATTTAAGGGTCCTGTTCGCTTTTCGATAAGTTACTTACTCAGGTAAATGCAATTAATTGGATAGGTTTTTTTTTGGGAAACACTTACCCAAGTAAGTGCATTTAACTATGTTCTTTTATTTCTCATGTAAATAAGGCAATGATTATTTTAGCCATAAAAATTCGTTATTAAAAGGAGAATTTTTGTCCCATTCAAGTGTGGGCAACTTTCTCCATAGGTGGAAAATTTATTTACCCATTTAGGAGATGGGTAAATGATACCCAAAAAAATAAACTTTCCCTAATCCCCACATAAATTTGAAAAGAGAACATAAGATTCTTGGTCAATGGGAACCAAAATCCCAATGACTAACTTTCCCCCCTCTCAAAATCTGAAAAAAGAACATCCCCAAAGTGTCATTTATTTCATTTATCTATGGGTATCTTTACGTCTTTTTTTCTTCAAATAATAAAAAACTAATATGAGAGAGAGAGAGCCAAGCTGTTCCTGAATAATTTTTTCATTCTCTTCGGACTTGAAGCATGGACAAACACAGGCCCACTTATACATTGTGTTGAAATTTAATTAGTCATAATGGGGGCGATGATGAGGATCAACACTAGACTATTCGGCCAAAACAACTTTTATACCATCTCAAGGAACCATACATAAGATGAGTTATGCTTTATGGATAAGATTAATAAAATAATATGTCCATAAAATGAACATATCAAGGATGAAAAAGTTCAACTTCTCTTTTCTTTTTAAGCAAATGAAGTTGAGATGGGTGACTGGCAAGTGAGGGAAAGCCATCAGCTAATAGTGTTTATTATGTACATGAAAAAGATTAATTACCTCTATATTCACCGATAAGTTATAATTTGATATTACAAAACAAAAAATGAGGTAAAAATTTATCTGAGTGAGATGGAGAAATAGGATTTAATTATGAAGCTACCTTAATTAGTTGGGACAAAATCTTTCTTGTCTCTTGAGTTGATCTCTAAGTTTTGGCAACAAATGGTGGAGAGATACATCAGAAATAACTGCGTTAGCTCAAGATTAATTTATTAGAAGCTGAGATTGAGTCACTGGCGTCAAGAAAAACTGTCGGCATGTTAAATGGAAAACGTACACGTGGCATTTTAAGAAGCTGGGAAATTTTCAACCAGAACAAATGCAAATGGAATATAATATTTTTTTTTTCTGTAAGCTGACAACCTACCAAACACAAAATTGCATCAAAATGACTCAGCAGAGAATAATTCCCCATACAAGGCTTCAATCAAGACTGTTCAATTTAAATACAACTTACACCCAGATGCCCAATTCTGCATTGACAAGAACACTAGAAACAGGGATCTTAAAGTATAAAGATTGATTGAACTTTAGCTAAAGGAAGGGGGTGGGGTGCTTTTCCTTTTCTATCTTCTTCGGGGCAATCCCCTACCAGAATCAGATATACAAGCCTGTGAATTAGAGGCCAGGAAATGAAAGGGTAGGGTTGAGCCAACAGTACAAAGGCATGAACCCTTTCTCTTTCCAATGTCAAGTTGGGTGTCGCATCATCACGATTAGCTCTTTATAGAAATACG